TCGTTGTACACACAAGAAGGCCTCAAACAATTGTTATGTTTCTGTGTTTAGACAACTTGCAACTATTTTACAAAAGTGCAGTTTTTGCGATTTTATTTCATGTGACACATGGAAATTAGTCACCCAGTACTAAAGTGTTTTGGGGGGTTGATTGTTTTGAGTGAGTATTCACATTGGCCATATATCATTACAAGTCAAACTTGCATGCAGCACATATAAGTTTATGCACCTCTGTTTTATTTAGTTAATATGTCAAGATCAGTCACAGCCTACCACCAAATTGGATTGTGTGTTGCAGATAAACATAGTATGAAAACCTAATAACTATTAGCATATTTACTCAAATCCAAGACAATTTCCTCCCCCCATTCTGCATGGGGAAGAGAGCCCCTTGTCTTAGTTTTGAGTACAAGGCTGGGGGTAGGGTGAAGGGAGGGCAGGCAGATGGCTGCAGCTCTGATTTCAGGCTTGAGCTCAGGTTAGAGCCAGAATCAGAGCCACAGTAAGTGCCTGCTCCCCCACAGCCAACCTCTACAGCCTCTGTCCCCACCAATCCCCACAGCCTGTGGCTAACCATCAGGTGTAGCTCCTGCTCCATTCCCTCCCAGGGCACAGAGCACACAGAAGCTCTATCACTTGCCTGGCTAATCAGCAGCAGTGGCAGCTCAGGCCCTTGGGACGCTGGTGACTGGCAGAACAGGGGACAGAGCTTCCATATGCTCCATGCCCTGGCAATGAACAGAACTGGAGCCATGCCTGGCAGTAAGCTGGGGGGGGAGAAGGAGGGGAGAGAAGGGGGCATAGGCTGTGAGGAGCAGGCATGGGGATGGAAGGGCTGGTAGGCTGCAAAGGGGAGCATGGAGGGGTGCAGAGGGCAAGGGAGCTGCCTGCCTCCCTGCTGCTGCTTTCCCTGATGTAGCAGTGAAGTAGGACAAATTTAAGATAACCCTCCGATAATTAGATTCTATATAGGGAAAACTATAACAAATTTTTTAATTTTCCCTGTATAGAATCTAATTATTGGGGGGGGTCATCTTAAATTTAAAGTCAAAGTCAATAGCTTACCTCTCGAGAAATGATCCCTGCTCTGCGTGCTCTGCTTCCCAAAACAAAAGAGAACTCACTGACTTGCGCCAGCCCTGCTGAGACGATCCACTTGATATACTGGCTGCTCTTTGGAAGAATCAGAGAAAGGACAAGCACTGCCAAAACAAACTGGAGGGAGGGGGGTGTTTTTAGAAGTCTGGATGATAAGAAGTGCTTACTGTAATGGATATAACATTTTTTACCATATATTTTGACTGTACACAGGACAAACGAATGGCTTTCTTAACCATAATTTCTTAATGCACAATAAGACAGTTTACACTAACAAGTGTCCTTTGAACAGAAAATAATAGTACAGTGTTTGGTATAGTGAAAAAGCATTTGATAATGCTCTCATAAAACCAACAGATCTAACCAAGTACATGTTTATCTGTCTAAATATAACAACAATTTCTATATTCAGCACACAAATACTAGTAGTCTGGCATCAAAATACCTATGAATAAGAGTTACAGAGCACAGCAATAGTAATGGTATTTTACCAATAATATTTATATAAATCATTTTCAGTATGTATACAGCATTTAGAAAAAACTGTCACATAATGGCGATTCTAAAGTAAATTATGGCATACAACACTTTAAATAGCTATGTTATCAAGGGATAAAGAAAATATACCTTCATTATGACAACTGACAGCGTAAGAAATAGCAAGATGGTGAGTTCATATATTACAAATGTGGGGAAAACATGAAGCCCTGAAATAAAAAAAAGCCAACAAAATGGTTATAAGCATTAATTTACAACATTATTTTCCAGCATAGAAGAGGTCTGATTCTTTGCAGGTTTAGGTTCCTTACACTCCTGTAAAGATGACCGTTTGTCAGATAGCTATCTAAACCATTGCACAGAATTGCGGAGGTGCTCTGGGTGACTGCTTCAGCTTTTATTCAAAAAGGCAGTACTCCAATTGAATAGAGAAGCAGCATCTACTGAAGAAAAAGCTGCAGCGTGAGCCAAGCAGCTTATTCTTAATTCAGCAACTTCCTGCAAACTAAAGGAGTTGCGAACCACCCAGATACAAAAAGTCAAAGATCGATTATACTAGTAAATTAATAAAAATATACATTTTTTAATAAACAGAGAATGATGAAATCTTCACTAATTTTACTTTCTTTTAAATAATCATTAAAATCATTGAAAAAAATACTAGCATATTAAAAGATGATCATGTGATCTGGAAAGGTTGCTGAAAAATAATTTCAGGGTTGGGGGGGCGGGTTTATAAGCAAAGGAATAACTGTTACTCAACAAAACAAACACCTTTTCCATCATAAGCGATTTCAATCTCTGATTTCTGTTCTATTTGTGACTGAGCTGGAATATCCTTAGTTCAAAACTTGGCTGTTAAAAGAGTATTTCCAAAAAAAAAATCATGAAAACACTTAAGGTTTAATACACGTATTTGTAGCATTTTTCTCCAAACATTCTGTAAACACCTGTCACTGTTTCAGTATCATTATTTAGCAATTAAAGTTGGGGACTTGCCAAATTAATGGCACTTCCCAGGAGGGCTGTGCAAAAAGCTTCAGACGCTGATTTAATCTGGTGGAGATTTGGCACAATTCGGCGGCTGAATCTCTGAATCCAAATCGAATCAAGAGACCCTTTAATCTCTCTGAATCAAATTGGAACCCTCCAAATCAATTCAGAGAGATTTGGAAAGATTCGATGATTTGGACATAGACACAGCTTTAAATATTTTTTCTGCATACCTCAAGGTACCAGGTCGCTTGTGAACGCTGAGATGATGGGGTGGATGAAGCATTCCACAGGAGCTCGGCGGGGGAGAGGCAGTGCACTCAGCAGCAGACCTGGAATTGGACCGGAATGATTTCCGGTCCACTTCCGGATTCACCGCTGAGTACGCATGGGGCCCCACCCCGCCACACTCCTGTGGGACACTCCATCTGCCCCACCATCGCAGCATTCACAAGCCACACCTGGTACCTCAAGGTACGCAGAAAAAACATTTAAAACTGTCTATGGGCGAATCGCTGATTCTCTGAATCAACATCGAATCTTCAGACTCAGATTTGGCTGAATTGAATCAGGACAGTGATCTGAATCAACAAATCAAATCGTTGTCCCTGATTCGAGCTGAATCTGAATTGAATACGGCTCGTTTTACACACCCCTACTTCCCAGCAACAGTCCCTTTCCATGGTATAGCCTGATCTCTCCCATTAGAAAGGACTAGAAAACAAAAAATAAAATTCCAAAACTCTTATCAAATATATTCTATAATTAATGGATTTGGGGCTAAATTGATTTAATGGCAACAGTAAACTTGAAGCACAGAACATTCCTATCAGTACTACCTACTGATGCACCAACCCAAACCACTTACAGCAGCACCCACCTGACTTATTTCCCCAGAGATATCGTATCCCAGTGCTACCAAGACTTGAGGTCACACACTGATAAAATCTTGGTATTGCGGTTGCAAAAATTTATGCTTGTGTTCTAGAGCTGGAAGAGTGGAAGGAAAATCCTAAAGCCCTTAACTTACATGAATAGCAAATAGTTCACTCAAGTCAGTGGGAGGTTAACCTGAATGAATATTAGGTACTGTAGATTCTGATTTACATGATCTTTCACACATTGATGTATCACAGGGCACACTTTATATTGGCATAGCGCCTAACTAGGCAAAATCGAAAACAAAATTCTCAGTACTCAGCTCCTGCAAAGAGTTTACTCAACCAATACAAACAGGAACACTTCCTTAAGCAAATCGGTGTTGACTTACAGCTGGATTTAAAACCTGCTTCAGGGTTCAAACAACTTGACATAATACATTTTCCCTGGGACCTGAAAGCACACGGAGCACATCCTCAAGCAGACACATCCAAATGAACCATGTTCTACAAACCTGGAGCAAAGAAGGGACCAATTATGCTAGTCCTTTTAATGCCACTTGCAAGCAAATTTCCAGTATTTCTACCCTAAGGTATCAAGCCCACAGCAACTGCTAATGGGCATACCTCAAGTAGAGAAGCTAGCTTTCTGGAAAGATTTATTTAATATAATTCAAATAATTTTGGAATCCACAGACACAAAATGTTTGGCTCTCTAGACATACAGGCAGACTCTTCTATTTACTGTTCTTAATTTAATCAATCTCTTACTAAAAAAATAATAATCAAGGTGAGTTACCTAAAGGACAGCTTCCATTAACAAAAGTTCAAGCACTGAAAATATGGAAAACAAAACAAGTATTGCTAAAATCCTGATTCACTTCTAAAAATGAATAGCTTTTACAAATACAATATTTTAAAATATAATAATAATTTCACTGATTATTCCAGAATCCTTAAACAGACTACTCACACCCCAAAGCATGTATGTTTTACAAACGTGCATATACACACACATGCATATCCTCCCCGCACAACCTTCAAAACTGACCTCTTTCATTTGAACTGGAATTGTAAATGGGTGCAGGGAAATCATATTCTTATTCTCTATGTGGACCAGTCTACAAAATACATGTATACTGCTAGTAGCTTAACAGTATTTGTGAGTTGGCAATGGAATGCCAGACATCAGAATTTCTGGTTTCTATTCCTGGCTTTGGGAACAAAGTATGGTCCAGTGGAACAAAGTATGGTCCAGTGGTTACCAAGAATATAGCTAAGCTTTTCACTCATGTGGGACTCCACCCAAGACCCACAGATGTGAAATGAGACTACCATTTGAGCTGAACAATCAGCTCTGTTAGCATGAAGGCAGGGATAGCCATAACATTTATATTTGAAGTCTACTCACTTGGAGTCATGCTGTTAGTGTGAAGTGCACAAGCACATAATCTGACATTTTATCTTTGAAACGGAATGTGGCAAAATGTGTTTTGTCTCTTGTACTGTACACCAATATTATATTCCCAATGACCTTGTGCAATTTCTCAGTTACCTCACCAGTAGATGAGTGAGTAGTTAGTTCCCCTTGGTTATGAGCATGGATCTTTGGATAAGGTTTGTGAAGGGTCTGGACATTAACAGGAATCAGCTGAGGAGTTAGGACTAACATTCATAGGTTTTTGTCTTGATACCAATAACTCAAATCATTAAGGTCAGAATTGCACCAAAATTTGACCTCCTGATTGATTCTCAGTTCATCACATCTCTTTCTAAATTATCAGGTATTGTGAGAGGCATCTGGCTGTGCATGCCAAACCTTTTGGGAGCTTTCTGCGTTTTTAAAACAGCTCCTGAAGAAAGGACCAGCGTTAATGCTTATGATAAATCCATGAGAATTTGTAGTAAAAACTCCGAAGCAGTGCCTAATTCACCTGGAGGCAAGCAGCAGCATACCAAGAAAACAGGATCTGGAGGACTGTTTTGCAAGTCCCTCCAATGGCAAAGTGCTTAGTGAAAGTGTGAAGAGAACTCCAAGGGGGTGCCTTATAGATATCCACAAGACAGACATTCTAAAGAGCAGCTACTAGTATTGCATGGAGTTTACTGGAATGTGCCCTAATCACTATCAATGGATCCTCCTGAGTGATTTCATAGCACATCTTGATACAGTCCAGAGATTTTATTTGAACAGCCTCTGGATGAAGATCACTGTCTTTCAGCCACAGGAAGAAAAGGGCACACACAACCAAAAATATATATATTTTTTTTTTTTGGAAAGCCTCATTGTTTTACATCTAGTGTATGCATCAATGCCTCCCCCACCTTCATCTGATCCCTCATTAGATGAGGGTTAATTTGTCATACGATCAGCTGCTTTTAAAGTGCTCTGCAGCCATGCATGTGTGTCACAGCACAGCTGCAGAGCACTTTCAGGGGGCTGGTCATGTGACAAATGTCATTTTTTATCAGTGCCTAGAGTGGCTACTTCCCAACAGTCCTTGTCAATCTGACCTGTGGGAAAAAATCCTTCTTTTAGCCAAATGTAGTGGTCTTCTTGTCCCTATATGTGCCCCTAGGAATCTATGAGAGAGAGAGAGAGACAGAGACTAACCAAGGAAAAACTAAATACCAGAGACTAGCATTTTGAGAGCTTCCGTAGAGATCAGACATGATCAGGATCAGACTGAAAAAGCTCCTTCTCAAGCCCTGGTTGGCTGAAAGGAAGGCAAAACCTGGAAAAACAGGTGAAACCTTTCACACTTCAGCATGGAGCATAAAGAAGGGCAGCGCTCATGCAGGCTGTCTGGATACAGCTAGAGCTCCAAGTTCGGATACATGCACATTTACAACAGAATGTGCACATACTCAAGCAGCTGATTGAGAAGAATTGTTAGCCAGGGCCCAAATCCAAAGGCAAATCCTCCCCTCACTTATAACTGTACAAAAACTGCACCGGTTCAGCTAAGGGCAATTAAAAACATATTATGTACAAACAAGGTGACATTTAACTTAAATTTTAGATCTCAGGGTGAATTTGCAGGGCCAGTGATGACTCTTATTTTTCCCTGCAAACAGACCAGTTCTAATGCGGATTCAGGACAGAATGAGTTACGAAGTCCTCCCAATTTTTACCATAATTTTCCAGTTGAACTATATTTTTTATATGCGGTCCTTTATTTTACCAGCGATAGAAATTAAATATACCTGACTGATATACCAAGCTACCTCAAGATCCAAATCTTTACTCTCTACAACAGAATATCTTGCTCATTCAGCAGTGGCCTTTTTCCTCTCTGTTCCACCACCTATTCAAGCTACCCTTGATGCAAGATGCTCTAGAAGAGGAAGAAAATCCCAATAACTCCCTCTTTTCCAACATCTTAAAGTATACTTTTACCTTTCCCCTTATCTGTTATTTGTCTGGATAATACTTTATTTAATTCTATGTAACTTTATTACTTTGGATAATAAAGTATTGGGATATATAAAACACATTATACAAACTGTAGTGCAGAGGAGATAAACATGAAGCCTGAATGCCAAAAAACCCAAACACCTTGAAATTTCAACCTCCATGCTTCCCCCCCACACACTTCTCACAATGACCTACACAAATAGTTTTGTTACATCACACAATTTCTCACAACCAACCTCTTTCCACAAACTCTTGAACTCTAGTCCATACTCCCATTTAAGCTTTTTACATTTAATAGATGAGACACTTAAAAGTAAGATAGTTAGCACCGTAACCTTTTTGTGAACTGCTAATGTACATATCATATTTCTTCTGAAGTAACATCATACATTTTATGCATCCATTCCTCCATGAGCAGATTTATTCTCTGTAAAGCTCTACAAACATTTTGGGGTTCATTACTGCTAAATTAATATCACAAAAGGAAGAGATATTGCAGTGCTCAAAAGGATATTCTTATCATTCAAGGACAGAACAGGAAGTAACATTTGAAATAGCTACTGTCTGTTACTAGTTAGGGTGGACAGAATACTGCCTAATATCTCACCATTTTCCTTTACTCCCTTGTCTGACTGTGTCCACCTGTTGTCTTCTTTTACACTAATAGTAAGCCTGCCCCAACAAATTTACAACTTCCTTTGTTCTTATACAGTACTTAACATTAAAAAATTCTGGTGTATGACTAGGTTCTAAGGTGGTAATAACTACTATATCATGGAGATGTGTTTTAACAGCTCAGTTGAGAACATTTAGCAACGACTGTTCCAACCCAGTCACTTACACAGACCCAGAAGTTTTACTCTAGTCTAACAAATTCCCCATCCCACCTAAAGATTCATTTTAAGAGTCAGCTAATCTGCAATTTGACTGATTTGAGTAAATTACTGTTGCAGATTGGGCAACATGTCATTAAAACTGGTGGGAATATTCATTTTAAGAGAGCTGTAAGAAACAGTTTAAGCTTCTATGCCGAATAATGGCCAACAAACCAATACACAGGTACATGTATGGGTATTCAGGCACTGAATTATGTTAGTGAAGTTCATAGTTTCATAGTAGCTAGGGTCAGGAGGGCCCTGATCACCTTGCCTGACCCTCTGCCACAGGCAGGAATGAATGCTGGGTTCACAAGACCCCAGACAGGTGATCATCCAACCTCCTCTTGAACTTGCCCAAGGTAGGGGCGAGGACCACTTCCCTGAGCAGCTGGATCCAGATTTTCGCCACCCTAACTGTAAAAAACTGCCTCTAACCTAAACCTATTCTCCAACAGCTTATTACCATTGTTCCTCATCACCCCAGGTGGTGCTGGGGAGAAAAGGGCTCTACCTATTTGCTGTTGATCTCCCCTGATGAGTTTGTAGGCAGCCACCAGGTCCCCCCTTAGCCTCCGTTTTCTGAGGCTGAACAGGTTCAGGTCCCTCAGTCTCTCCTTATAGGGCCTGTCCTGCTGCCCTCTCACCAAGCGGGTGGCCCTCCCCTGGGAAGTGTTTGCATAAGGGTGAGTGCTTGGAAGTGAGAGAAGTTGGAGAAACAGAGAAGGAAGTTCTATACAAAGCCTGAAGATGCTTCAAGTGAAGTTCTACAACAACATACAGAGTTTTTGGGGTGAGTGCTCACTAAAAGCACCTGGGAGCTACAAGCAAAGAAACTACCTCCTGTTTGATTCTTCCTTTTCCAGGTATGCATTTATGTATTGCATCTAAACAAAGAGAACTGCAACAAAAATGCTCAACTCCATATTCAAGTTTTTCACCTAACCTAAATAAAACTTTAATAAATAAGAACCATTTTTTTGCTGTAATAAATATCCTTCTGCAGAATATAGGATTTAAAATGACAAACTTTTTTACCTTAAGGTATTTCAGCTATTTGTTTAAAGTAGCTCAAAGGTTAGCAGTTACTTGATTAAATAGAAATTAGGCATGTCAATTAACTGCCATTAACGTGCATGATGAACATGTTAATTGATTCTTGTGTTATTTTTTTTAACGCATTAATCACACGTGGTTTTGGAGCGCACACCGTGCTCCACTGCTGTCACCACTGCCTCTGGGCTGCCCAATGGGGCAGTGCTGGCAGTGCAGAGGACCGCAGGGCAGCCCAGATGTGGGTTTTAGGCTGCTGCAGCAGGAAGGCATGGGGGGCAGACGCACACAGACACATACAGATGAGCAACCACAGCATGCACACACCCAGGAATGCAACCCAGCAGTGTGCAGAGTGGTGCCCAGCAGGTAAACCTGTGAAGGAGAAGGGGCTGGGGGAAGAGGGAAGGGGTGGAAGGGCAGATCAATGCTCCCACAGTGAGGGAGAGTGGGGCAGAGGCAGGGGCTAGGATGAATGGGGCTCTGGGGCCAGGGCAGGTCATGGGATGGAGTCAAAGAACACTCGCCCAGGAGTGGGTGGGGGGGGGGCATGGCTCCCCACCGCTGCATGCACCCCCATGGGAGGTATGGGGATCCTGTGGCACCCCAGATTTGTGTGCAGGGTGGAGGAGGGCTGGGACTCAGTGCCCTGCAGCCTTTGCCTCAGGAGCCACATGCTGGCTGCATGTCCCCTGCCTACCCAGGGTGGAAGGCACAACATGTCATCATGTGGCTCCTGGGGCAAAGGAACCAGGGCGCAGGACCCCAGCCCAAAGCGGACAGCCCGCCTCTGCCTCATGCATAAATCCAGGGGGCATATGCCCTCTTGCTTCCCCCAAGGGTGCATACAGCAACAGAGAGCCACATCCCCCCACACCCCTGGTCAAGGCGCCTGCAGCTCAGTCTCACAACCCAGCCCGGCCCCAGGGCCCCATTCACCCCAGCCCCTGTCCCACTCCCTCCCTCACCATGGGGGCCTCAATCTGCCCCCTGCCTCTTCCCTCTCCCACCACCCTCCCCCACAACAGATTTACCTGCCGGGCGCTGCTCTACACGCCACTGGGCTGTGTTCCTGTAGCATTACCATATTTCCAGTTTCAAAAAAAGAGGATACTTGTGAGGGGGGGGAGGCAGTGATATTCACGTGCCCTGCCCCTGCCCCTCACTCTCAAGCCACAGCCACCACAGCCCTGCTGCTATCCCTCACTCCTGAACCACAGTACCCTGCATCCTGCCAGAGCATATGGGGATTTCTCTTCCCTGGGCTCCAAACCCCCCACACACACCACCCCAACAACAACCATACAAAGTACCTGCATAATTTTGCAGTTTTCTGCACATAATTTTGGTGAGTTTTTAGCTGTATGATTAAAAATTGCAATTAATTGTGATTAATTTTATTAATTATACAACTAATCACGATCAAATGTTTTAATCATTTGACAGCCCTAATACAAACAGGACTACAGAGTTTTAACATTACGTACTTAATTTACACATTCATAAAATATTTTAATGCTATACTTAAAATATAATACATTTATACAAATTTCACACTTAAGAAAATATTCTAATAGATTCATAAGAAAATATTCTAATAGATTCATACAAAGCAAAAATTTCCCTCGCCACACAAGTTTATGTAAATTCATAAGTTTTTAAATTATGTTTTAGATTACCTATAGATGCAAAGAAAATGATGGCAAGAAAGTCCCTTATTGGTTCAATACAGGACATGATCTCTTCAGTAACCATGTGTCCCTGAGAAGAGATCAGTGCGCCAGCTAAGAAGCATCCCAATTCCATTGAAACATCCAAAAGCTCTGTAATCTGTCAAGAAAGAAACATTTATTGATCTCCTCTTGCTGAAAGATTTAATGCCAGTTTTACAGGTAGACTAACTACAAAACTACTACTTATAGATTTGATGTATAAAGCTTGCCACATCAATGGTTTAACCAATTAAAGGAATTTGAGAGAGATATTTCCTTTCAATAGTGACAAATTAATTTTGATGAATCTGGAATATTCACAAGCCAAAAAAAAAAAAATCCTATGGAAACAAATGTAAAATTTTGCATTCTACATTAAGGTATTATTATTAATAATTAATATCAATAATTAATATTTTCTCTTTGGAAATAAAATCCTTATCGACTTCAACAGAGGCAGGATTTCCCTCAAATACTTCATGTGTTATAAGAGACAGAGAACCCAGTAAATTTCCTTCCACTTTTCCAAAAAGAAAACTAGATTTATAATTTGAGAAGATATTGAATTAAAGCTGGTATTGAATACCCTGCTGTTAGAGCTGGCCATCTTGCAAACCATTATACATTATATTCAAGATCAATTTTTGGACCTAGTTAGATCAAGCAATGACATATCACACAATACCTTTTTGGACAAAATTAATCATGTCTTGGATGATGTTAAGGTGTAAGGTATGAATCCAAAGCCCAAGTAACTTCAGGCAATGAAAGAGAGCAATAACCTCTTCAACATGTACTGCCTGGAATATTTTACTACAAAAATGGAACCTGCAATTTAAGAAAAGCTGTTTATTTTTAAAGCACTAGCATATGAATGTTCACCACACCACTCTATTTGTGTACACAGTTCTGAACAATTATAAAATAGTTAATAAAATGGAATGGGTCTGTCAAGAAACGTGATTCCTTATCAGCAGGGATCCCGGTTTTCTCTTTTACAAAAAAAAAATTCCCAATTTTTGGATTAAAAAGAGTAACCCAAAATCCACATTTTTTTATGGTTTAAATGAAACACCACTAATATATAGATAGATATATAGTGGTATTTCATTTTAAATCATGGGAAAATGTGGATTTTGGGTTACTTTTTTAATCAAAAAAGTGGAGATCTTATCAAATAAGAGAAAACCAGGACCCCTGCTTATTAGTCAAAACTAATGCAAAGATTACTGCCAAAAATCCCTTCCATTTAGTTTCAAAATACAGACTGCTCTTAGCAACAGTTTGAAATTAAAGTCAGCAATTCCCTTGATTCAAGGATGATCTCTACTGTGGCTCATTGATAGGTATTAAGGTGACTTAAAAGTCCAATCCTTGAGCCACAATTCTGCCCACAGAAATTGCAGACCTTTCCAAGGAGAGAGTAAGTCATAGACCAGGATTTCTCTTTTCCATCCTCCGCTTTTTCTTCTCTGCTTTGTCTTGCCCTTCTTTGCTTTCAAGGCAAGATGCGCTACCTCCAAGTGGGCTGCCACTTGGTTGAGGTTGTGGCACCATTCCCAAGTTGGTTAGCTGCTATCTCCTCCTAGCTCTTGATGTCAGCATCTGTTTTCTTGAGGTATGCCTTCAATGTGTCCTTCAACTGTTTCCTCTGGCTGCCATGACATCTCAAGCTTCAGCTAAACTAGGATTGGAGCACTTGGTTTTGGGAGTTGAGGGTCAGGCATCAGGGCTGTGCAAAATTTCGCCAGCCATTTCATTTTGGATGCATTTCAGGCCGTTTTGGCACCCAAAACACCAAATCTGAATCAAAATAGAAGGCTCCAAAACATTTCCAAAACGAAATGAGACATCCAAAATGTTTCAGGAAATTTTGCAGAGGGTGGGTAGCAGCAGCAAGGAGACCCCCAGCGTGGATCTCTGCTCCCTGCAGAGCCAGGTCACAGAGCGTGGCAGGGCTGGTCCCTGCCACGCGACCTGGCTCTGCAGGGAGCAGAGATCCAGGGTAGCATGGGGCTGGCAGCAGTGGCGAGGAGACCCCCAGCACAGATCTCTGCTCCCTGCAGAGCCAGGTTGCACAGCAGGGACCACCAGGCTTGGTCGCCGATCTGCGCTGCTTCCCTGCCCCTCAACCCGGCATGACAGGGATCAGAGATTCATGCAGGGGTCTCCTAGCTTGCACAGAGAGCAGCGGCCCTTCCCCTCCCCTGGACGAGCCACCCACAGCCCCATCCTGCTCCCCACTAGGGCCCTGCAGCCCCCGGCTCCAAATCCAACCTGGCTGAGCAGTAGGGCTGTGCAAAACTTGCAGCCCATTCGAAACAAATTCAGAGGAGAATCGGCAGAGCCAAATCTCCAAAACAGATTTGACCAAAACAAAACAGAACACTGATCCAAAAAACCAAACTGAATCACTGTCCTCTGAAACGGCCAAAACCAAATCAAAACACAGCCATTTCGCACAGCCCTATCGGGCATCCACATGCCATGTCCAGTCCAGTGAAGTTGGTGCTTGAGGATCACCAACTCAATGCTGGTAACTCTCGCTTCAGCAAGGATGCTACCATTTGTGTAGTGATCTTCCTATTTAATGCAGAGGATTTTCCAGAGGCATCACTGGTGACATCTCTCCGGGATCTGCTCCCCCCCAAAATGATAATGGTAGGTCACCCACATTTCGCATCTATAAAGGAGAGCAGGGACAATGACTCAGAGTAGGGATGATGAAACAAATGCACTGTAGACCTGGATCTTAGTATCTGTATTGATTGCAGTCTCCAGAAAAACATGCTGAAGTGATTTCCTGAAGAAGGCACTTATGCACTGGATCCTATGCTGAACACCCTCAGTGTTCACTCTCTGAGAAAGGTGGCTGCCAAGGTAAAAGAAGTGCTCAACTACTTCCAGGGTCTTTCCCTTGAATGGTAATTTGAAAAGGGGGTCATATTTGAGACCTGAAGCAGGCTGATAGAGGACTTCAGTTTTCTCCATATTGAGAGAAAGACCCAAAATTTAGCAGGCTTCTGCAAAGAGATGCAGTAGTTTGGGGAGGAGATGAGCAGCCAACAGTGGCATGAACTATGTGCGCCCCTAGTGGCTGGGGGGCACAGCTGTGCTCACAGCAGAAGCAGCACAGCGGTGGTAAGTGTGGAGCTCCTGCACGCACCGCTGGCACTGTCAGCGGCAGGGGGGAGGTGGGGGAGGAAGTGTTGGCGGCACCTTTTTGTAGGGGGTGCACTGCCAGGCTCAGGGGGTGCACATGCACCTGTATGGACCCCCTACGTGTTGCCCCTGAACAATGGCAAAAGAACAGGTTAGGAATGATTTAGAAAAATCGGATGTATACAAGTCCATGGGGCCAGATGTGATACACCTGAGGGTGCTGAGGAAGTTGACCAATGTGATTTCAAAGATAGTGCCCAGCTGCTCTGCAAACACATGGTGATTGGGAGAGGTCTTGGATGATTGGAAAAGGGCAAATATAGTGCCCATCTTTAAGAATGGGAAGGAGGAGGATGCGGGGACCTACAAACCAGTCAGCCTCTCCTCAATCCTGAAAAAAATCATGGAGAAGGTCCTCAAGGAATTCATTTCTAAGCATTTGGAGGAGAAGGTGATTAGGAACAGTCAGCAAGGATTCATCAAGGGCAAGTCATGCCTGACCAATCTAATTGCATTCTATGATGAGATACCTAGCTCTGTGGATGTGGAGAGACCAGTGGACATGATCTACCTTGACTTCAGCAAAGATTTTGATACAGTCTCCCACAAAATTCTCACAAGCAAGCGAAGGAAGTACAGGCTAGATGAATGGACTGGACTCTAAGGTGGACAGCAGGCTGGCTAGATCATTGTGCTCAAAAGGGTAGTAATAGATTTCATAGACATTAGGGCTGGAAGGGACCTTGGAAGATCGAGTCCAGCCCCCTGCCCGAGGGGCAGGAAGTCAGCTGGGGTCATAGGATCCCAGCAAGATAACCATCCAATTTAGTCTTGAAGGTGTTCAATGTAGGTGCTTGAACCACCTCCGATGGCAGGCTATTCCAGACCTTGGGGGCTTGGACAGTAAAGAATTCTTCCTTATGTCCAGCCTGAAACAGTCTTGCAGTAGTTTATAACTGTTCAACCTCAATGGCACAATGTCTAGTGGGCAGCCAACACCAAGTGAAATGCCCCATAGGTTGGTCCTGGGGCCAGTTTTGTTCAATATCTTCATAAAAAAAACTGGAAGATGGGATACAGCACAACTTCAGCAACTTTGCAGATGACACCAAGCTGGGAGAAGTAGTAGATACAATGAAGGGTAGGGTTAGGATTCAGAGACCTAGACAAATTGGAGGACTGGACCAAAAGGAATCTCACGAGGTTCAGTAAAGACAAGTGCAAAGTCCTACACTTAGGACAGAACAATCTCATGCACCAGTACAGGCTGGGGACTGGCAGCTCTGCAGAAAAAAAACATGGAGGTGACAGTGGGCAATAAGCTGACTATAAGTCAACAGTGTGCCCTTGTTGTGAAGGCAGCTAACAGCACACTGGGCTGTTTTAGAAGGAAAGCTGCTAGCAGGGTCAAGGGAAGTGATTATTCCCCTCTGTTTGGCAGTGGTAGAGTACTGTGTCCAGTTTTGGGGTCCCCCACTACAGAAAGGATGACTGACAGGAGATTTAATAGCAGCCTTCAACTACCTAGTTCCAAAGAGGATGGAGCTAGACTGTTCTTAGTGGTGGCAGATGACAGAACAAGGAGCAGTGGCTTCAAGTTGCAGCAAGGAAAATTTAAGTTACATATTGGGAAAGATTCTCTCACTAGGAGGGCTGTAAAGCACTGGAACACGCTACCCAGATAGGTTGTGGAATCTCCATCCCTAGAGGTTTTTAAGACCTGACTAGGCAAAGCCTTGGGTGGGATGATCTAGTTGGGGATGATCCTGCTTTGAGGAGGGGGTTGGACTAGATGACCTGCTGAGTGAGGTCCCTTCCAACCCTAATTTTCTATGCTTCTATGATTGTTGTTTTGAATACTTTGGTAGACTAAAGAGCCCTCCATCCATTCAGTATTCAATATCGATTCCGGAGGGGAGGATCTGGATGACGATCAAAAGTGTGGAGAACAGACCT